GCTTCTACTCAGGGTTTTTTCTTCCAGTTCAGAGCAGAAATGTTTTTGTTACGATACTGGATGTTGTGTTTTTCTCCACAATTTTAATTATAAGCTAGACACATTGCTGCTAACAGCAACAGGGATGAGTCAGTGACTCAGTTGGGCTTGTGAATCATGATTCATGAGTCAGTAAAGTGATTCTCGAGTATTGAACGATTCGTTCATGATTCGCGCATCACTAGCGGCTTGGGTGGAGGTACACAGTCACTATAATGAGAAGAGACAGGCAGTCAGTGGCAGTCTAGTGAATCACAGCCGAAGGATTAGACTGTGGTGGTTAGGGCGTAGGTGTAGATACTGTTGGTTCAGTGAATGCTTAAATTGCACTGATTAAAATAATTGTATTATATATAATAAATGTATGGTTTTCAGGGTTTTTATCGGTTTTCAGCGTTATTTTGCTATCGTTTTTATTGTTAACTCAGTTTTCCTGGGTCTTTTCACGTGTGTTATGAGTAAATCTTCTTTTTTTCGGTACTGGTACTAGTTTTATTTTGTTGTATTTATCCGCAACACCTTAAAGGCCGGTCCATGAAAATATTGTCAGGCATAAACCGGTCCGTGGCGCAAAAAAGGTTGGAGACCGCTGGTTTAAAGGCTGTAGGTTGCAGCCATTGCTCTAACACTGTATAAATGTAACAGGGCTCAGTGCTGGTTCTAACAGTCTGAGCTGCTTCCAGCTTTATTTGTGAAGAGCACAGCAGCTTACAAAACACGTAGCTAGCTCGTACAGCGGCGACGTAAAATGTTCATAAGCTAAGATGACCTTAACGGGGCTACGTGCAGTGATGCTAGCGTTAGCCATGTTAGCATGTTATCTTCAACAGGTGGTCAGACTACGTAAACAGGCACTCAGTCAGAGGTTGCGCTGCAGGGTCCCTTCATTCTTAACATATCCGTGTTGAGCCGAGTGTAAATCCCGAGGCTGAACGGCCTTTGTACAAGCACACACGCTTCTTAGCAGGGCGAAGCTATGAGCTACAAAAATCCAGGCAGACAGCCTGTGTCTGTCCAACCAATCAGAGAGCTCCTTTTGTCCTAAGGTGTGGCTAATTTGAATAGCAGCAGGATTTTTAAAATGAAGTTGTTAATCCAACAGCTAATCCAAAAGTTAATCCCTGAGCAAACAGGAGGGGAAATGGAGTTGAAGTTTATTAAAGTGGAATTCAAAAATGTTTTTTGAAATGAAGATTTAAAAAGCATTTTAAAAATCAGTTTATTACACTGGAATTCAAAAATGAATTTACAAATGCAGAATTTATTCTACAATTCATTATTTAAGCACAGAATTCTTTATTTCTATGCGCGTGGCTCTTGTGATCCTCCATATATACTATCCTTGTGTTGTGTGTAACACTGTGTAAGTACTAAGTTATACAATTCAGCCTGTGCGCTTCACTGTTTTCGCTTCATTTTTAAGCGACTTGTTCTGCGAGAAAAACTGCAGGGAACAGAAAGAGGGCAAGCTTGGTAGATTTAGCTCACAGGATCAGTATTAGTATTCATAGTCATTGAGACGTTTTATGACCATATTTTTCTCTTTATGTTCTCCGGTCCTGGGTGGCAGACAGCCTAGCCCCGCCCTCTCATACCCCTTTTTCTCCTGCCGTTACCTGCCCTTGTCCCTCACAGACACATATGCTACTCCACACATACAGGTCAGGGAGAAAGGGATGGGAAGGGATGAGGAGAGCTTTCTGGCTGCATCAAAGTTTAAAGACGGATTGCTGTAATTTCCAAGGCAGAGTCTATGGAAACGACAGGGACACCACAATAGCTTTAACCTTCTAATGGGTACAGTTATCTCATAAGGATGGAAATAAGAGCCAGGGCCATTTGCACTGGCATTCTTCTATCTTGCTGACTAATTTGTTTTATGTAATGTATTCCTCTGAATAAAATCTCTGCCATCCAGCCGGCACTGGCAGCGTCAGATACTGTACCAAAAAAGCAGAAAAATTGTAGTTGTCTTCTTTCTTTTTCTTTTTTTACCTCCAGCTCTTTTCATTATTAAGTGTTTACTGATTTATAAGACAGGTTGTTCTTCTTCTTCTTTTTTTTTTTTAACCCAAATCAGGTTTCACTAAAGCAGAGTGATTTGAATTTAATGTGTAAATTACATTGAACCAGACAGAATGTATTCCAGTTGAGGTGCACTGGAAAAGACAATTTAATTAAGAGAGAAAGCGAGAGATTGAAAAAGAGGGACAGAGACTGAAAGAGAGATGTGGGATGAATGAAAAGGGCAAGCCTGGAGGAAATGAATATAACTTTGAGATACTCAGTTCTGAATTATTTTCACTTTCACCCAGTTTTTCGCCTGCTAATTAAGACCT